AGATCCTCCGGCTTGACAGGCCGACAGAAAATAAGGCCACTAAGGCGGGAATTTTGCTTTTTCAATCCAATGATGTGACCACAAGTGGGTGGGTTGCATGCAGCTTTTCTTATCTTTACTTCATAGGGCCACTAGCAGGCGAATTCAATTGGTCTTGACTTTGCTGAAGTCTGGGGAGACGGTGGCTTGATCATGCGGGATTGGTAGGGCACCTGGAGACTGGAGTCAATCATCGTATGCCGGTTTCATTATTACATCATTGGTTCGTCTGGCGTTGGAACATATTCCCCGACCCCCATAGATTGCTAGGTAGTGTCATATATTTCAACGATACCTCATCCTTAAGAGATACTTCGTATCCCCCTTTCTCTCATGCAAGATAGACAAACACCTCTATGCATCGTCCTTCCTCTGAAGCTCTCATGTCCATAGCTTCTATGCGTGATGAGCCTTGCAGAACCAAGCCAGCGTGAGTTTGTGTTCCTGGAAAGGGCATTACCGTTGATGTCGTCACTTTCGTCTCAGGACTACAGTGCGCTCAATTGTAGTGCATTCTGAACAACGCGTAACGGCACTTGATGGGATGCTTCAGGACGAAGATCAACTTCTAGCAATCAACAGCACCATTTCAAGAAACCGTTGATCCCTTTCGTAATAGGACCCAAATTGCTAAGTTCCGAAATTGCCATCGGCTCATCTGGAATACTCGCACTTAAACTTCGTTTTGTGTCGTTTAGTGGTCCGGCACCCTTCGTTTCAATGCGGTATTACCAACGCCAGCTGGTGGCTATGAATTCCTATTAGAATACCTTGGTACATTGAGCCGCCGTATATTGAACCAGGAACTGGCACTGATAGTTTGGGCACACAAGAAGATAAAAAGAAATGGCAGTTTCTATAATATAAGGTATCTAACTATTATCGGGGTATTGATCCACAAAATCTGTCCTGCCGTCCAGCAATGCATCGGCATTGAGCCTCACGCTCCACCTCACCATGTCGGTCATACTCTGATCCCTAAACCCATCGCCGTGATTTCCAATGTCACTCATTGAGCTGAGAGGACCAGCCGCACGATGGTGATGGAAGAGAGCCGGCTGCGTTGTCAAGCAATTATGAGGCTTCCTTCCCTTGGCGCCCTCACAGAAGAATCTCAGAAGGATATCAGCAGCATCACTGACATCCTTCAGCGCAACCTCTTGCAACAGCTTCCTCGCACCCTTCTGGCTGACCGCGTAGCCAAGTGTGCAAACACCTTCCTGTGCGTGGTGAACAGCACGGGTGTGCTCCGGGTACTTCTCCTTCAGGGTGAAGGGGATGTTGAAGGTCCAGAGGTTCTTTTTCGGGGCGACAGTGACATCGTTTGTGTGGATGATGCGAGCCTTCGGCACAGTCTTGCTGTCCTCGAACGGGAAGTGCATACCACAGTGTCCGATCCAGAGAAGATCCCAGTCATCGCCATATGGCGAGACTTTGGGAGGAATTGTGGCGGGGAGATGCTCAAATGGGATGTCGGGTATCCTACCCAGAGTGTTGTCAGTTGGCACTGGGTAGCTTGGGTCGACGTAGGACAAAGGCGCCTCCGCCAAGGGTTGGATAAGTGCTTGCGTCGACAAGGCGAAGTCGTGTAACTGGTGCCTAATCCTAATGTCCCAGTCGACGTCATCTTCGAGGATGAGGGCAGAAGTCAAGTTGCGACGAACGATTCTATGGAGTGGGTCAGCGAAGGAGTCAGTTATCTGGGAGGAAAGGCGCGTCTCACTCGCCAAGCGCGTTCATGTGTCCGCGCCAGCAACCAATGGCTCCATTGCTGAGCTTATCATGTTCACTCGTCTTTGGGATAGCCTTATCCGGCACCTTATCCCCGGGAACACCATCGACGAACTCAATTTCCATGTCGCTAAGAGCGGCCTGGAGAAGAACGCCATCTCGACGGTCTGTCCTTGACGGAAGGCCAATGACGAAGATCTTTTCAAACTGCAGACTATTGTATCAGTACACCACCCAACTCAGAGGCCAAGAAGAAACTCACACCCAATGTGCTGTTGTTAATCTTGCTCATCAAATCTGGCAAGGATGAGCTCCGCCTTTGCCGGATCTGGCCGAGGAATGGATTATGCAAGAAGAAGACCAGTGTGACAAACACAGCCCCGAGGATACAAAGATCCCTCTTGGACGTCGACCTGACGGGCATGAAATGCATCTTCATCTCCTCGCAGCAAAACAATGGGGAAAAGAAGAAGAACGAGGAATTCCTAACATTTTGCGCCATGGGTTCCGCGAGTGCCGGGCGCCTCTTCTTAAAAAGCAGATTTGAGCAAACAGGCCGTATCAGGCATGATGGTGTGGGTTGTCAAATCTTACCCGGCGGGATGTATGGGGCCGGATCAGCCAGCCCCCAACGTCCAAATTTGCGAATGGCGGCTTTCCACTGATAGGCCACGATGCATGGGGGAGCATAGTGTGCGGCATGGCTCTCCTGCGTCGACTGCGCCGGGATGCATATCCGCAGCCCGCCGAAGCAAACAACTTGCAGGCGAGTTCCAAATTAACGTGGAGCCAAGGGGGCCCGGAGCAGAGGGAAGAAAAGGGGAATGATTAGATTGTTTGCTTTGCCTCACGGAGCTGAGTTTTGGTTGTGGTGTTGGACCTGAAGCGGTTAACGCCATCGCTTGGCAATACGAGTTTGTGTTGGTGCAAGTTGGGTTAAACTGCAGGCAAAGTGGATCGCTAGACCTTCGTGATTGGACCATTGGCAGGAAGCTGAATCGCAAGCGCCGTAGCCGTTTTCCAAACCATCGGCAACGCAATAAAGCCTTTTTTGGTGGTCTACCCACTATTGGAAATCCACATTGGCTCTTTATGTTTAGTTTTAAGCTTGAATTCTCTACGAAAGCCCAGATATCGTGACTCGAGGATATGCTATGGTCGCAGTGGTCCCCTGAAGAAGGCCTTGACGGGCAAATGGTTGTTTGCTTTTCCCCAACAATGTCGGTGTCAACCCTGGCTTATCGCAGCAGGCTGAAAATTGCGCCTCGACGATCTGCGCACGTGGTTGGTCCAAGTAGAGCAGGGTGTCGCTGTTTGTTGTTCCAACATGATACCAAGGAGTGGGCCGGGGTCCCAAGCTGTCGAGTTCCAACTCAGCAAGGACCACGATCAAGTTGGAGCATCTTAATAAAAAAACAAATGTCAGAGTCAACAGCTCTCCCTCTCATCTTGCGGAAAAGCAAGCCAATTCAACATGCTCTTCCTTGCTGTGTTACTGTTCACCACTGTCCCTTTGGTGTCTTCCCAGTTCCTCAACCCGTCTCAGAGTAGGGAGCTTTGGAGAATCGGGCAGACACGGAAGGTTCAATACAACACCAAACTCGAGAAATATACCATTGCCCTTTGGCAACAGGCCATTGCAGGAGGTTCTGCGACTCTAGGACCAATCATTGTGGGTAAGAGTTGACAGAGTTGATTGTCTCATAAGGTCACATCTAACTCTAGTTCAGAGACTACAACAGGTCCAAAGAGAGAGTTTGAATGGAAGGTTGACCTCGAGGAACTCGACTTGGGCGCCTCCAATGTCTTCTTCTTCTGGCTCTTCGAGGGAGACAAGTCCGTTCAAGGACAGGTGAAAAAGGGACAGGCCTTTTCTTCAGCCTTCTTCAACATCACCGACGAGCCCGAACCGAGCAGTTCATCCTCCATCAAGTCTTCAACAACCCGAACTTCAGCTTCATTCGCCTCCTCTTCCGAGGCATCCTCCACATCGTTAGCCTCAACGACGACAGAAGTCGAATTGACCACAACTACTTCTGAGGCGCCTACCACAACACAAGTGCGCGTCTTGCCAACCGCACAAGAGCCGGGACCGACATACAAGACGAAAGCAGGTGACGCGTCGGCGAGCAACGTCCCAGAAGTCAGCGTTGCCGACCCAAACAGTCTTTCGGTTGGGGCTCAAGCGGGCATAGGTGTCGGGGTGGGGCTCGTCGGCGTGACGTGTGTTGTGTGCGTTATGTTGTGGTACAGGTACCTCAAGAAGAAGCAGCAGACGATCTCCGAACTGCATGGTAGCACGACCTTCCCACAGCTGCCTGGATACTCTAGGAGCCATGGTGTTGGAGGTGAGGATCCGGAGTCTCCTGTCGACAAGCCAGGTTATTATGTGAACAAGAGGCCTGTGGAGATCGACTAAGGGTTAAGGGAGAAGTTATTATGGCTGGGGTTGTTTAACAGACTACGCTGCGCGTGGGTTGTCCATAGCTGGTTTTTACATTCCAAACTCTTAAAACTCAAGGCATTAATCTAAAGCCCAAGTCTCCATGCCCAATTGCGCTCCGTCAAATCCTCCTGCGGATATCCGACATCAACGGCCGGAAGTAGGGTCGGCAGTTGAGAGAACACTGCCTGCTCAGTGGTCCTCAACAACATGCGCTCGCATCATGGATGGTTTGCCCCTCATCGATAGAACGGAGTGATATGCGACTGAATTCGGGCACAACAGATGTCGGCAACGCAAGCTGAAACGCGACGAGGTCAAGCCCGCCTGCGGGTAGTGTGTCAAGTCTGACCGAGAATGCGTCTTCTCGGCGGCTTCGATGATCCGCAACTTCACGGCTTCATCTTGCTGCATCTTTTCCACTTCCTCACCTCGCTCCTTCCACATCACCAGAAAGCTAGCAAAAATGTTCCAGTAGAAAGCGCGCCTCTCTCACAGAGAGAAAATGGAATGCGTAATGCTGCTTGAATGAGTAAGACTCGTGAAGATGTCAGAAATACAGGTAAGATGATACTGTGTGAAGGTATTCTATATTGACAATTATATATCAAAGCTCTATTCCCTATGTCCTAGGTGCTGAAAATCTTTGGTTACATATCTCGTAAATGTCGTCCGGTCGTCATCATTACTTGCTCAAGAACATAATCATGATATGCGCGAATGCCAACGCTAAGCTGATGCCCGCTAAGTCGTGTGTATATATACAGAATGCTTTTCGTCATTATCGTCAATTGCGTTTATCATTCAGCTTTCCAAACCAACGAAACCATTCGTTGGTCGGCTGTCTCGTTGATGGTTTCGGTCGCGATGGTGGTCTGTCGTTGCTGGTCGGGAGGATCGGCTCGTCCAATTTCTTCCTTGCAAATTTGGTCCTCAATTGTCCGCATTTCTTTACCAAGAATCCCCTCCTCTTCGGGTGTGACAGGTCGACGATCAAGAGCGCAGCCAGCGTCAAAGGAATGCCAATGGCAAAGAAGAGCCAAAAGCTCATCTTGGCCGCGGAGAAGTCTGGGGAGATGCTGAGGAAGCTGGAGGTGAAGTTGAGCGGGATAAAGATGGTCGCTAGGCCAGTGAGTCGGGTCAGGTTCCCATTTTGCTTCACTGCTCGCCTGGCTTCCTCGGCGTTGATACCGTTCATGGCGATGTTCTCGATCGTGTGGATGCGAGCTTGGCTTTCATTCATTTTCTGCTTCACATTCCTGAAATCCGCCCAAAGAGCTCGGATGCCGTGGTTGTCCTCTTCCGCAATGGGCTGAGGAGGTCGGTTATCCATCTCAATGATGGCGCCGCCAGGTTGCATCCCCCGGATAGGTGAATGAATCTCCGGAGGAAACAGGCGCGCTATGGCCTCACTGATCATGGCCTGGTAGTAGCCAATGTTACGACGCCATGGAGATAGCTTCTTGAGGATGTTATTTTCAATGTTGACGAAGTTACCACCCCAGTGAGGCTTCTCGAATTCCCACTCGATCTTAGCGATGGTGGTCGTGACATATTTCAAGGCCCGCAGCCAGTCAACGATGATCAAGCGATACATTCCGAGGGCGATGTTGCGCTCGTCTTTGCGCACCAGATCGAGCTCGTGGGCAGCCATGCGCTGACTCCAGTACACGACGTCCTCGTACAAAGTTCCTTGTGGAGGTGCATCGACAGGCTGGGTTTCATTTTGCAGCCATGCCTTCATGGAGGGAGTCTGCTGGAATGGACGATAGCCACCCCATACAGGCTTACCTCTGGAGACTGTAGGATCGACAAGCAAGATGGCTGTAGGGGTGATTAGCCTTTGCCTGACGCAGGGCATAAATCGAACAAACCTGTGACGGGCTCAGACGCATCCTTGCGTGGCTTCCACCACAGCGAAGTTTTGGATCTTGTCAAGGTGATGCTGTCACCAGGCTTGTCCAGCAGACCGTCTTTCAAACGTGTCCGGCTCCTATCGCTATCGATGCGCCGCAACACATTGAACATGCCGCTTTCGTACTCGGCTTCTTCGAAATCTTCCTCGGTCTCGAAGTATCGAGCTCGCAGATACTGCAAAGTGAAATGGTTGCGTTGACGGGCATCGACATCCAGGCTGGGAAGTTCTACCCACGGGTCACGAGGATTGTGGAACAGATAGTCGTCGATGTGTGACTGGAAGAACTGAGGATCAATATCGTAGAAGGAGCCTAGCAACTCGACAAGATCACGGGAGAGATCCTCGGCAACGATGAGTCTGATTTGAGCAGTGGTGGAGGTTTGCGGTTGATGTTTCAGGAAGCGCTCCAGCCCGGGTACGTCGTTGATGAAGTCCGGTGATTTCTTGGCCTGGTTGTCGGTGTAGTCGACGACGCAAACACGAGATCGCTTTGCTCGCTCTTCTCTATGGCCTGGTTTGTTCCCTGGGAAACACTGCAGATATTTCCACTTGGGCGGTGCAGCGGTGACCTCCATCCAATAGCCAAGATAAGCCAGATGGGGCAATTTCTGGGAAAGACTCTTGATAAATCTCAGGTACGGCTTGGGGCTGCGAGACGGAGCGTCAGTGGAAGGACTCTCAGTTCAAAGAGTAAAAAGACGGACTCTTTGATTTCCCACTCTGATTTGCATTTGACGCCTTCGTAGAGATCGCCAATGTAGTATGTGTTCCCAGCGGCATCGGTATGAGGCAAAATGGCATATTCTTTCCCCGCCCAGTCCTTCCAGTGTTTTTTCTCGTGAGGTTTCAGGGCTCTGATCTCCCGGCAGAGGAGTTCATGCTCGCCCTGAGCCATGGCGGAATGGCCGTCTGGTGGAGGATGAACTTGGCCTTCGAAATCCATTTCCTTGGAGCGGGCCGGACTGGCGGTGGAAAACGTCTGAACCATCCTGGAGGCTAGCACCAGCAACTGACACTAGTGATGGCGTGGTAGAGGAGATGAAGGAAGCAGATATGTGACGGCAGAGCGAGGAGCCATAGTCTTGACGAGGTGCCTCAGGCATGGTGGGCTTGGTGTGCGCTGGCCGACGAGTTTGATGCAGTGTGAGCTTGATGCAGCGAGAGCCTGCAGAGGTGGGGTTTGGGACTGCAAGTGAAGTCTTGGACGGTGCCGTAGATACCGTGAGCAGCAGTAGTGGGCGGCGTGCAGCACCACGCACAAAATTCATCATTCGCTAGAAAAAAAGGTCGATCTTTGCGGAAGATATCTGGTTGGCTGAACCCCGCACCCTCAAGTAGTGTAGAGTCACAAAGAAGGCGCAGTGGTGAAGTGGAAGAAGGAGCCGCCCGACTCGATGCACTTTTGCGGGCTGACTTGCTGACTTGAGCTCGGAACGACGCTAGCGAGCCACACTAGACACCTGATTTGGTGGGGGCTGTGCACACATACTGCATAGTACTGCATAGTACTGCATAGCACAAGTTGCCTTGGAGTCAGCCTTCCATGCAACACCCCCCTCGTGCCACTCGCAGCTGCCTTCAATCCTCGGTGGGGAATCCCTCTTTTTTCCGTTTATGGTGCTGCCTACCTTAAGGTCAATTGAAGGTAAGCTCCAGCCTACAACCTTTTGAACCCATCGCCAACTTACCGAACAACACAACTGCCAGCTCTCTCGCGATACGAATACATCTACCGTGCGTCGCCGCGTCAGAGCCTGATGAAATATCCACACCCGCTTCCGTTTGCTGACGTGCCCAGGGAATCGCTGCCACCAAAGAGCAAACCGCGAAGAGGGGTACGCTTCATGCAGCATTTCTTGCGCTCGCTGTTTTCCTCATCCTCTTCTCCCCATCCATCCTCTCACACTATCACAGAACCCACCAACACCGCCCCAAGAGAGCCGGAGAAGACGAAGACCGCCGTCATGGCCCAGCCGGTGCTCGTCAACGGCGCAAACGTCTCCCAGGCAGACCAGGTCGCTTACGCCAGAGACAACCTGCAGGCCTGGGACAATATTGCTAACGAGTGGGAGACCTTCCACACCCCCGGCCAAGACGACGGCAGCGATATGTTCACCCAGTGTCTGCTGCCTGTCGTGTGGGAGCTCGCAACTGAAACCAAGACTACTGACGACCTGGCCGCTTGGAAAGAGGGCGAGACCGTCCTCGATCTGGGCGCAGGGAGGTGAGCAGCTGAAATTGCGACGAGCGAAACGCGCAAGCTGACCTCGCCACTTTGCAGCGGTATAATTGCGCGCATGTTCGCGAAAAAGGGTGCCCACGTGACCGGCCTTGACTTTTCAGATGCCATGCTTGAGAAAGGCCGCGAGCGAAGTAAACGAGAGACGCTCAAAGGCAAAATCGAATATGGCAAAATTGATCTTATGAACTACGATGACATGGCAGCCTACATGGAGAAAAAAGAGTAATTTTATCTCTCCCAACACTGCTGCATTCACCTGCTAAGTAACTGCGAACAGGCGATTTGACATCATAACCATCAGCACAACACTCAAATCTCTACCTTCACTAGATCCTGTTGCTAAGGCTCTGCCACTCATGCTGAAGCCCGGTGGACGGTTAGCATTATCGACTGCGGAACACATAATATCTGCTGACATCTGACAGTGTCGTGGTCGTTGACCTTCACCCCGCATTCTCAAAGCCGGCCGGCCATCGCGGCATGGAGATTTACGAGGATCCCAACACCGGCAAGCAGCAGCTAAGCACTTACATTAAGATTCCAAAGTATCTTAACGTCCCACCGTCAAAGAGTGAGGCCGTACGTGGACAGCCAGAGCCACTGGTAAGTTTTCAATTTCTTGTACATCTTTTGATCAGACACTGACCTCGCAAAAGTGGGTGTTCCACCGACCCTTCTGGTCACTAATGGAACCTTTCTTCAAGAACGGATTGGTTCTGGATGCCATGCGGGAGCCAGCTTTCGAGGGTGCACCTCAACCCCAGCAGGCACAAAGCTACCACAACTTTCAGCAAACTCCCATGCTGCTGGCTTTCCGCCTACGGCACAAGGACCAGATCAATGGCGCACGGAATTGACAAAATGGTCATAGAATAGCACTGTAGCCTTGTACATAGTTCACCTGCCGTGGAAAGGTCTTGGTGTCCACCCCGTTGGACGGGATTCTAATCTGGTGGGAGGATTTGGGCCCACGTCGCCCTGCAGTCACGACCAAGAGATGCCGGTCACCTACTTCGACTCAGAACGACCCTCCTTACTTCCGATGTTCCACGGAAATTGCCTATATTTCCCCCGACTCCTGAGTTGAGTACGTGGAAGTAGGGACCAACTTCACGGGCCCACGACGACTTACTGAATCACGACATGAACCATGCACCTAAGGCCTCAGACATGGTTTTCACAGGCCACGATTTGACGGAGCACATCATGAAATTACGTGCCACCTTTTTCCAAACATTTCCAAGTCTGCAAGGACGGCTCTCACATCAGATTCACATCAGATATATTTGTGGGAGCATCATGATGGTATTTATGATTTCGCCTACACCCAGCCGACCACGCAATGCAGACCACATGGCTCTGCTTCCTTTTTGGGCTGCATGGGCTCGGCGGCGTGTTGAATTTTACACAATTAGATGAGCAATTCTCCTAGTGCTCGTCAGCGAGGAAGCTCTGCCAGAAACGGATCCTGGTGGCTTTGGGCAATCTTGTTGAAACGCGGGTTCTTGTACTGTATCTCAGTCAATTTCTATGTGTTCACGGAGTGAAAATCTCCCAATATCACCATTTTCATTCACTTCACCCAGACGCTCTTCACATGCCAGGTCAGGACGCTGCACGTTTTGCGATCAGCTTGGCTTAGCTTTGGTGCTGAAGCCTTGATAGGCGTTAAGGCAGCAGAGACAGGAGCATCCTCATTATTCTTGTTCAAGACTACGAAGTCAAGATTGCAGTATTAAGCGATAGAGAGCAAAGCTTGCTAAAGCTGTAACTGGAGGCAGCAGACGAGATGAAGTAGTCAGATGCCCTATGATCTTTTCTAAGTAAACCCAGCAAGACGGTGACAATGCCGATGACAATACCGATGAGGCAGAGAATTCAGAATCTATCTGACGTTGCCGAAGAAGTATGCCTAGAAATCGCATGCACTTAATTCTAGTTGCCCGCAGGAAGAGAGGTTAGCTGGGGCTAATGAATGAATGACAAATTGTTCCAGCCGCAAGTGATCGTCAACCAGAGCGCAGGCAAACTCAAATGCGCTTTTCATGTAGGGTTAAAAGTAGCGGTAATCTGCAAAGATAAAGTTTGTCAAAGACTCAAGAATATTTTGCCCGCGCCCTGGCGCCGGTATGAACGCACAACTGCACAGGCCAGAAAGATGGTGAAGATTCCGAGATGCATGACAGGCTTATCCATGGGTATCACTACAGCATTTCGCATTATGTACTCTCTCATAAACTCTGCAAAAAGGCCCGACAGACAACTTGACTCGGTCGTCCCCCGCACGAAACGTGCGAAGGACCAAGAGGATCAACGGATCCGGGGCGCCACCGGCTTGGCAAACCGGTTTGCACCCACCGGCACATGCCCACCGGCCCGCACCGCCCTACCTCCGACATTGAAGACCCGCCGCCGTCACTCATGGCACCACTTGAGCACTTCATAGTTGGAATGAGAATAATTCGACACAAGAAACCGTTCAAGTATCATCAAGTTCGGTTACGCTCATTGAACCTGGCCTGTTGACCATTTGGTTTTATTACCCGATCGCACGATTAGCTAGGCCTAAATCATCATGCCGCTAAAGAAACTTTGGGGTTCAACGCAACTCGGAACTCTCGGACGGGACTACTCCAGACTAATTCACGATTGCACAGGTGCACATAGCTTGGTTACTACTGCACATGGGAATTCAACATGCAATTCCCAGTACCCATGCCCATGCGTCTCATGGGTCGAAAAGATCTTATCACCCGATAAACACTGAGGGTTGGTTGCGCTTGACTTACACCCTTGATTAAATACGTGGTGGGGACGCTTTTCATTACTGCGGGCTCCTGACTCTTTGCCCTTTGAAGGAACAATCACTGAAAAGATTTTGAACTCCATCATGATATTGATACCGCTGGCAATCGTTCTCAGCGCGGCTGTAATATACGCTACAATTCGTGGGATATATCTCCTATGGTTTCATCCATTAGCAAAGTATCCTGGACCTAGGATTGCTGCCATATCCAATCTGTGGTACATATACGCCTGGTATGCCTTCTCTATGACTCTATGTAGCATTGGAATACGGCTGACCAGGAGGGCTCGGCTAGGCTTTCCGGAAGATATCCTTGGATTATTGAACATCAATTTCAAATTTACGGTATCAAATTACGCACCACCTCTCACGAAACCTCATGCTAACTAGATCAGGCGATGTCGTTAGAATTGCGCCAAACGATTTGGTGTTTCGCACACCACAGGCCTATAAAGACATTTATGGAAGCACCGTTAGGCGGCGAGAGATCTTCGTCAAAACTGACATGCAAGACTTGTCGGAATTTACTGGGTTTCCCGACCTTGGCGTCGCCGCTGAGAGGAATCCCGAAACTCATGCCCAAGTGGCACGCGCGCTGCAGCCATCATTTAGCTCGCGCGTTCTCCATGGTTGTCATGATGTGATTCACCAGGTTGTTGACGAATTTGTCACGCAACTTGAGAGACGAGGAGAAGTCAACTTAACAGAGGTAATTGCTCGAAGGTGACACCCACATGATTCGCACCGTTGACTTTAGCTAGTGGGTCGATTACTTTGCCCATGACATTTCTGGCGAGTTGGTGTACAACAGGGAGGCGAAGATCATGAAGTCAGGTGAGATTCCTACTTGACAGCATTAAAGGCCATTGGTCAATTAAAATTTCCCATCATAGGAGATCCAACACCGGATGTAATAGCATCGCGGAAAATGTCATATCTAGGAGCAGTGATCGTGGCACTGAAACGGTTTCCCCTGCTCAAGTTCCCTCTATTCGTTTGCCTAATTCCATGGGCTTTAGCATCTGGCATATCCACCTTCGGCAAAACTGTTCAAGGGTACGCACGCGCGCGGATTGCAAAAGGTGGCAAAGTCCGACATCTAGACCTCTTGGAGCCCATCATACCCCCCGAGGGGTCAATCGTATCACAAGAAAGCAAGAAACGCAGCGACGACTGGATCGTTGCCCAAGCCAACTCACTGATGGCAGGAGCTTTGGGTCCGGTCACAAACGCCATAATTTCGTCAATTCTCCTCTTGTGCGATTCGCCAGAGACAATGAAGCGATTGCAAGAAGAGGTCCGGGCCACATTCGAAAGATACGACGACATCACAGTGGAGGCATGCCAGTCTGCGTGTCCTTACCTTAATGCCGTAATCGAGGAGGACTTGCGTCTTGTGACACCAGCACCGTTCGGCCTTCCAAGATACAGCCCCGGTGCAGATGTTGATGGCCATTTCGTACCATCAGGGGTATGTCCTTTGCAACTGCCTGTTAGAGAGAGTCAATGACTTACTTTGAACATAGGTTACTGTACAGACTTGCAACTTCGCGGCAGCTCGCAGCCCTGATTATTATTTCTTGCCACGAGAGTTCCACCCGGAGAGATTTCTGCAAGAAACCCATCAATGGTATGATCGGCGCTTCAGTAACGACACTAAACACGCCGTCATGCCCTTTTCAATTGGCCCACGGCGTTGCACTGGCGCAACCATTGCGTACACGGAGCTATGTCTTATACTTGCCAAACTGGCATGGGCACTTGATGTGAAACTATCCGCGCCGGGCAAGAAAGTGAGCTGGGAAGCAGACGTGAAGGTTTATGCAACATATCGCTTCCCAATTGTGTGGATCAGATGCGAGAAGGCAAAATTGATACCTCTAGTTCTGTGAAGAGGCTGTACGATCGAACCTATGTGCAATAAGCCTTGCAGATCTAGACTCGGTTTCAGAACAATTTTGAGGATGAAAGGCCTCCACGTCTTATATTTCTGTGGATGTTTCCTTGCAATTCTAATCAACATTGTCGGGGTAAATATCCGGGCCAATCTAAAACCAATATTTCACCTCAAGAGAGCTGACAATGCCGATTTCCCGCGTCGACTTTCGTAATGCGGCAACTTGATAACAGTCAAAGACCTGATGGTGCCTGCGCTGAAACTTTTTGGCCCAGGTGTATGACCACAACGTAATCTCGGATGTCATTACGAGCTTGTTAGGTCGATGCTCTCTGCAAAGCCAGGGTGCGTCTACAATATATGCCACCGCAAGAACTGGATCATGTTTTGAAATGAACTCATGCACATTGCTTTGCTGTCTTTCAATCAATCCTTCCAAAAGTCTTGAGCAAAGCTCACCTGATCTCCACTCATTGACACATTTCCGTTGATGAATCGCAGACCGTTCCCGAATGTGCTATCAGTCACGGTAGACCTCACCACTGTGGTATCAGTGTTGGCAATTGTGCCCAAGCACAAGTTTCCCGCAATTACTTTGGCTTTGTCACCAGTAAGGTTCCGGCGCCAGGTCAGATGGCTATCCAAGTCACCCTCTTCAGGCCCTGGTTTCGAACAGTGGTCCCCGCTTCTGGTCCTTGGCTCTATCTCCAGCAACAACTCGCGGGTTTGATTTGGCACGTTCAGGCCTTGATCTAAATTAAGTTAGGGGATTGCGCCCAACTTCGTGATTAACAACGTAGTGTGGAAGGGAAACTCTACCATTGCGGTAAGTGGATGGTATCACACGACTTTGACCCATCTGGTTGGTCAAAAGCGCGATACTGTCTTTCAGCAGAACGTTGGTTTCCTCCCCAGTGGTCTTGACTTCCAGCAAAGCTTTGTGAGCCGTCGCGAGCTCTGTAGTTACCCCTTCCGTAGTGCCCACATGGGATATCCCCATTTGGATCAACAGATGGAGATTCGCCGTGTCAAGACGGCCCAACAGCTCGTCGAGTTTGTTGTTTTTCCCCGTAGGATCCCTGAGCGCAAGGAGAATATTGTGCGTCTTACTGTTCCTTTGCTGCTGTTGTAAAGTTTTCAGAAGGGTTTCGATATTCACCAGAATACCTTCAATGTTCCTCAGTTGGTCTGCAATAAGGTTATTGTCGTCCAGACTAGGCGTTTGTCTAATAGACTGGAGGGTGCGGCCGGTGTTGCATAGAATGGAAGCAACGGTTTCGATTGTTTGAGGAGCGCTTCGGACATTCTTGATGGCGTTGACTACGCGCTCCGTGACCGCCATGACGGCACTCGCCAATCCGAGGACACTTGCTGTGGTCCCAATCGCTTCGGCCTAAACGTAACGTCAGAGTCAGGTTAAATACGAATTTAAGAAGCAGTAAGTTACGTACCATTGTTGATCAGCGTCTAACGTCCGCAAACATCTGCTGGATAAAGATGTATCGAGAAAAGGCAGCGGCCATACCACTGCTCGTAGTTGTGATAAGGCTCTTCTCCCCGCACCTGCGTAGTTTCAGCCATTTCGCATGCAGGTCGCTTACGGTACCCGACGACCAGCCCGATAATTATTTACCACGTGATTGATGTCAGGTGAGACTTGTTTCCAAATTTGGGAGATTCTTGCCCGCGAAAGCTCATTCGTGAGCACCGTAATTCCGGGCGGGGACAGGCGCTCCCTCCTTCACCATGTTTTCGACCTGTGACACGCCCACTGCCCACACCCAAGAGTCGAATTTACCGAGATCACGGATGACTCAAGACGGTCATGAGTGCAGAGGGACACGGACAGACATTCCAGACCCCGTCTCAGCCGTCGCACCCGAATTCGTCGCATGCGATCTCTGGCTCGCACTTCGGAGATAACACCAGGCTACATCTGGGGGATGTCATTTACAATTTGTGTGGACGTAAGATGAACATCGGGGAGTTCCACTAACATATTGGGTCTAGCTAATACTGTTTCAATCCAGAAAAACGCAAGTCGGACTCTTTAAGGGGCGTTGGGACCGACTTTACCGACGACGAGTTCCTGACGTATTTATCCGACACCGATCCCTGCGACAAGAAGGATGCCATCAAACAGGATAACCTACAATCATGGCAGACAGCCTTCAACGATCTGCTCGCCGAGGGCAAACTCCTCAATGACTGGCTTGACGACAATGCCTCCAGATCTATTTGGATACAGGACGAGACTGGAGTAGGCCATCCCATTTTATCGGCGAAAATGCTCGAGCATATCGATTCGTGTCCCAAGCGCCAAGACCTCTTGGTGGCTTACATTTTCTGTCATCAGCGACACAGTGTTGCGGATGTAGTAGGAGGTCTGGCGTATACCCTCCTCGTCAATCCCAGCCTCCAAGACACAGTTCTTCCGCAAATACAGAGATTTTTCTACAAGAGTATTAGGACTTGTCGAGAGGATGGATCACACTTTGGTCTCTTTTCGCAAGTTCTACAATTGACTCTAGAGACTGTTGGTCAAACTTTACCAACCAAGCGCATTCTGCTTGTAGTGGATGGAGTGGATTGTTTTCGCCCAGATGGCGACAGGAATAGCAAGACTTCACAACTCATGAAGCTGTTCAATAAGTTCCTCGGGAGCTACCGTACAATGAAACTGATGTTCACCACCACAGGAAGAGGGATTTCGCCGTGCCTTGAGAGTTTAGTTCTCATTGGTCCAGAGTTGCTCATAGGCCCTCCCAAAGTGGCCCAGGCTCTGGGTCTTACCGACGCGCTCAAAAAGGTCACATTTTTTGGCTACACAATACAGAAAGCGTACAACGAGCTCAAGGCATCCGCGACCAACGAAGAAGATCTATCATGGTTTGACCACTGCGCCGTCACACAAAAGTGGTTGCGAAAGCCTCGAGAGTTAGATACTCCTATACTGTGGTACCGAAGAAGGTCACAAGCGGCCCAATCTCCAAGTCAGCTGGCGTTGCATGTCGCAGAATTTCGCCCTATGCAGAGTCACGACATTAGGACATATCTTTCTTTGTTCTCTTTGTTGAATCCGCGTTCAGCAACTTTCGATACCGTCGACCATGGTAGGATACACCCGTCTCGAATTCTTTGGAGTGTTTTTGCATTACTTCTTGTTTTGACTTGCCGTTCGGAGTCAGCAGTCGCACATTTTGTGGTTTCCCTTCCGTCGAACCACCGGCGTTCTTTCAAGATGTTCTGTGACGCTATGGAATGGGACCATGATCTGGTCACAACGACGCTTCCGGGGGGGGGCTTCCGGATGTCAATCTTCATTTTACAGACAAACCAAGTTCCTTAGTGACGGCGATTTCTTGAGCTGCGGTCAGTTGGTCAAACGTATTCTTGAGAAAGGAAGGCGACAAGCGTGTCAAATTACCCTCGTACTGGACGCTGTGGAAGTCGTGAAAGTGCGGGACTATCAACAGTTTCTGTCCTTTCTACAAAGCTGTGCAGTGCCCGTCCGGATTCTTTCGTGCGTCAATACTTCGATTCGACCCGAGTTAGCAGAGTTGGAACGGGCCTCGCATCATCCGTGGGTTGATGAAATGACAGAATACGAAGGTCAGTCCCACGAATACTCTTCGTGACTTCCGCCGATACATATCCCCACTGAGTCTAACATCTATATAGAGTGTATACAGGGTTTCCGGAGTCAAGAAAGATATCAATATGGAATACCCGACGCATCCCCAGAAACCAATGATTGGCTTTGGAGCCATCGGCAATTTTTGAAATGGAAAGACTGCGGCGGTCTACTCTGGATTCGCGGCAAACCAGGAAGTGGCAAATCAGTTTTGGCCAAATCGATCAAGAAGAGCCTCCTTCGGTTAATACCGCCCATTCAGAGAGACACATCGGCACATTGTCCCATAGTTTACAGCTGGTTTTACACTTCAAGGGAGTCGTCAAGTGACAGACAGCATGCGGCGATGCTGAGATCCCTCATTCGGAAAATCTTGGAGGAGAGCATCTCAATGTTTTGCACGATACGACATCAGCATCGATCCTTGATTTCCAACTACGGTCGTCCATATTTATGGGACTTCAATACTCTTCAAGCGATTCTTGAATTGCTCTTGTCAGATTCAACTACTCCGGACATAGTAGCCGTCATAGACGGTCTAGATGAACCTGAGGACGATCGAATACACGGCCCATCAAGATCATCTGTTTTGGACATGTTACTAAGAATAACTGCCAAGTCGCCAAGGCGAGTTCGGACAGTCTTGCTCAGCAGACCTACACCCGAAATCATGAGCAGGCTCCGCCATACAAGGATATATCGCATTGTTACAGAGCAACATAACCATGTCGACATATCAGTCCTGATCGAAAGTGGCATCCGGAGGCTCAATATAAATCCTAACAGCTTCAACACCGAGGAAGAAGATATGCGCCAATTACACAGCACATCCAATCATTCAATGTCACATCCACAAACAGGATATATGAATGATCTTCAGAAATATCTCAGCGACAAGGCACGCGGTGTCATTCTCTGGGTGGTCTTGGTCTTTGAACAGCTTGAGACGCTTTTCAGAAGCAGCTACGGCTTCACAATGAGTGATGTGAAAATATCACTTGACAAGTCACTTGCATTGAAACAGTTCTTTTTGCACGTCCAGCCCCAAAACTTTCATGATCCCCAAGCTCGTCATCATCTTCTGAATGCCAGAAAGTTTCTTTCATGGATAGTCGGCTCGCGGAACAGAACAGAACTTCAACTCCGTGAGCTGTGGGAAGCAGTAGCGATTCCCATACCCGAAGACAGTATTAATGGCCGTTCGCAGTTCTACAACACCGATGTGTCTGCTAGAACCATAAACGACCGGAGATTTCAAATTTGGGGTGACTGGGAGAAGTTCTCTCGAATTATCTTTCGTCATTGCGGATTTCTAGTGGAAATCGTGCCGGCAAACGGATTGATATCTCAATCTGCAATTCACGGCACTAGAGTCGACCCATCCGAAATTTCCTCTGCGTGGGTAGCTCAGCTATTTCATGATACTATCGGCACACTTCTTCAAAGCAGAGAAGTAAGCGGACAATTTTTCATCGACGCTAACGCCGCCAACGCAATGGTGCAGTCAGTATCTCACCAATATCTTGGTCTTGCCGTGCCGCAGCTGAATGCCCCTCCTATTCTGACACCAAATACTGAAGGCAGCAGGGGAGCACTGGACGCCATTTTGACGTCCTCTAGAACGTCCGATGGTAGAGCTCTCGGCCTTTTAGCAACGAATGCCCTTTGGAAAGCAAGGCCAATGCTTCGATTTGCTCTGGAAATGGTCATGCAGAATTGTGCCCTTGATTCAATGATGGATACTCTGGCAAATGTCGATCGAGGCCCAATGAGCCCAGACCATCGTCTGGTTGTCTGCTGGTCCGCAGATCTCTGCTTCACGCCGGACACTTCCAAGACAGAGATCCGCACAATCGTGCTTACTTTCTGCCTTTCCGGTAGACACGACATTCTTGAAGCCATATCTCGACAAGTACAGAACTTCAAAGAAAACTACCGGTATGAATGCGGTCAAAGATTTGAGTTCAGCAGATTTGTGGAGATCATCAAAGCCGTCATCGAATGTGTAGGGCATTTGAATTCTACTCATCTTAAAGCTTGCACCGATCGCAGTTGCTGTCTTGGGTGGCTTTGCATCCAACGGAACCATCTATCTGATAACGATTTGAAGGAAGATGCCATCAAAGCTGGTATTCGCAACCTTAATGAAGTTTTCATGGTGGACGCAGGTGCGGGAGCTTTACCCGGAAACATCACTCGCCTCGGCAGTGGCGTTTTCAGCTCTGACCAGACTGGATCAATTATGCGAGCCGTCCATGAAGCAGTGAATTTAGCAAAACAATACTCAGCGTATCACAGGTGGGATTTGGAGGAGCGCTTCTCACACTCCTCAGCCTTCTCAGAAGGCAACGAATTCCCTCAAGATCAAAGCAACGGGAAGTAGACACATGACACGTCGCAATTAGCATGCAATTGCAAAGCAGGTCAATAGAAATGAAAGGCTTCAAGGCCATTTGTCAGCTATGCTACAAATTACTAGCAAACAAAAATATGCGTCATGCACCCGAACCTTCAGGTACAACGTACCATAGAGATTCGACTGTCTCTTCCATGGACATGAAGGAAGCAATAAACTTCGCAATTCATGTTTGTTGCATATCTGCCTATTATAGTCACATGTAAAAAGTAAAGGCTAAGGGAGTGTAGGTAGGCTTGAGAATCTCTTGGCAGTCTCTAGATAGGCAGCAGGTTGCCGAAGCTGTTTCCAGAGCCAAGATGCGAAATTCAGCCGGAGCATATTGATGAGCACCGTCGCTAGAAGTTTCGCACTATCTCGGAATGGCCGTCTGTTGACCTGTCACTTATAGGGCTGGATCATGACCCCCACCTATGTACCTATGGGCCAACCGCCCTTCCAGGGTGCTGTCTGGGAATAGCGGCATGCCAGCGGGATCAGCCGCTGCCGAAAGATTAAGCGATAGAGATGAGCGGGGCGCCATGAGTATCTTGGTAGCAGGATGGGTGATAGAATAGAACCCCGATCTGCTTGGGATTCTTGTGAACCTCCTCCTTTTCCCTAGATATTCCATCTTATCATCGATTTGTCGCCCTCGTGCTGATGGAACTCCTTGACCCGTCATCGTACAGTGTGCCGAAGAAGCCACATGAAGCTGACAGACGTGCGTTTCTTACGTCCGGTTGAATGGGACCCTTAGAATCGTGTAGCCTCTATCAAATCATTACCAAGACCGCTACTGAGTAATAATTACGCGAAGCCGAGACCGAAGAAAAGAGCAGTACACGGGACCAATTCTGCGCACGGTGGAACTTGACCTTTTTCCCTTCCCCTGGAATGGAGATTCAGCTTAACAAGGCGCCCTATTCATATCGAACTGGCAATGACGGCAGAAGGCACGCCATGATACTGAGAATTCATCGGATACTGACTTGACACGCCCCGGGATGGACGGGAACTAGTCTTTATCAGTCCACAGGGGCATGCCGTCACTTGTCATGACTCTGGGTGCACAGACTCTCTGAAGGTCCCGGTGTTGGCGCAGTGCAACACACACAGGGAGAGGGAGCGAATGAATATACGCGTATCCCAGCAATGGGACCAGTGGGTTTCTTAACAAAGTTTAAGCTGTTGGTTGCCAGAATTCATCCCATTGTCTCTCTGGGCGGGGATCCACCTTAGATTGCTTCCCACTTCAGCTGTCACAGATTTAGAATGCCATCGATCATGACTCCAGTCGTACATCGACCAAAACTCTTCTTCGACTTTGACACTCACTGCAGTTCTTCGCATTAGCCTTGAGGCAAGCAAGAAACAGCGCGAGAATTTCCGCACATATCCCGACTTTACTTCGCATAATTCGTTCTAGGGTCAAAGCTGCATCCAATGTGTGAAGATGCCCCCATCTGGTTCCCTGAGTCACAAACCTGTCACTAACCTACAAGTGAGTCGCCAGGCATGAATTGACTTCGGCGGGGCCGTTCCCCCATGTTCTAAAATCAGTACAGGATATTCTGGTTGTGTTCCTAATCCACAGGACCCCCGCACTACCCCTAAGAGACATTCTGACTGGATAGACTGCATAGTACTCTTGGCTCAAGAAGGCTAAGTTAGGGAAAACCACCCAGTCATCAAGGGCTCTGCCCAGTAGGACACCCTGCTTCAGCGGATTACGACTTTAATGAGATTGCTTGTACGGTTGGCAACTCATGCTATCCATGGAGTATGTCATAGATGGCAATCAGCCAGTATATAATATTTGGACTCTGTTCGCATTTTAGAGTTACCTCGATGCCCCAAACAACCGTCACTCATTTCTTTTTGCCTTCGAGCAGCTCTCGCGCAGCTACCACCTAATATCTGACCATATTTTCACTATAAAGTGATATAGTGTATTAAAGTGTACTTTTTAGAAACTCTGCTAGTATATAGGCTACTTTTATAACTACCCCCCTTCTCTTCTCCCTTCTTTTCCCCCTTTACTTCTTACTCCCTAATTAGTTTTAATAATTAAAGAGGATTATAGTAATTACTATAATTACTTTATTTTTATATTTTTTAAATTTATTTAACTTATTAAGTTTATCTTAAACCTCTTTTATTTTCTTATTATGTCTAAGCTTTTTATAAAAATTCTTTTACTCCTATTTATAAGTATTAATACTTTTAATATTACTAGATTTAGAGAAGAAATATATAGTAATTTAGTAAATAAATATTTAATAGTAATATTTATTTTTAGATTTATTTAAGGATTTAATATTAAAATTTATATTATTAATATTATTTTAGAGCTCTTATTTATACTTTTTTATAAGAATAATAAAGTTAATTTTCTATTTTATTTTTTAATTTATTAATTTAGTAATAAGTATTTTAATAAATTTAATTATAATAAGTTAATTTTATTAGGAATAGTTAATAAGTAAAGGAAGACTTATATTCTTCTTTCTATATAATTTTATATAGTAAATTATTTATAAACTATTAAAGTTATTAATAATATTCTTATAAACTTAGATTAAAACTTTCTTAGTTATTATAAATAGTATTATAATATATAGTAAGTATCTATTAAAGTATAAATAGAATTTTTATAGTGTAGTATAAACCTCTATAAATTGGATATAGCTAGGCTTAAAGGGTAGAAGATAATATCTGACTATATTCAATCTTTTAGCTTAATATGCTTTTCCAACACCTTTGCGCTTTTCTGCTCGCGGTCATTCCGCTGACCTCCGCGGCAGTTATCCGTCCGTTCGCCGTGAGTACTCATCAGCTCTAACCGACAACCGGTCGCTGACAGAAACACAGAAAAACAACGCCTACTGGGTGGACGTCACAAAGTCTCGAGGCGGCCAGGTGTGGGACTTTGCCGTCTACGGCGACGGGTACGCCAAATTCGACGACGACGGCGACCGCAAGAACCTCGACTACGTGGAGGTCGACACCACGGCCAAGCGCCTGACCGTCCACAACGCCCAGAACGCGTTCGACACCACCAAGCCGCGTCTCAAGATGCGCGAGGTCCTCAAGGAGTGCTGGACGATGACATCCCTTCAGCCGGCCGAGCTGAAGGAAGTGGCGGCCACCTGGATCTAAAACGACGACATGAACAAGGCCCTCGCGGACTGCCGCACGGAGTTGAACAAGGGCCCCAGGGGGAATTTCGAGGTGTCGGCTACGGACGGCGGCAGCGCTCAGCAGGCATGCTGGGCCAGGCTCGGAAAGACCATCTTTGCCGCTTCCATCACGGGCGCTATTGCGGACTTCGACATCAACAAGAAACTTGTCAAGATGGAGGTGACAAACTCGTGGACAGGAGATGACCTCCTCTTTACTTTCTCTGCTTAATGGGTGATGGCGGCCAACGTATAGCGACCCATAAAACAAGACCAAGAGGTCTGCGGTAGAGATTCCTGGAGCAGTTTTCAGGTAGTTGCAATATACCCAACAGACCCTTTCACCCGTATCCGCTGCTCGTATCATGATCTTTGTCTCCTCGTCGACGGAAAGACTGTCTTCTCATCAGAGCACTGTGGACATTGGCAAATCTTGCCTCGCTTATGTTTGTTGTCGCATTTGACGGCGACGAAGAAATGAACCACATCTGCGTGCCTGGCATCATAGACACAAAATATAAGAACAATGTTTTGAATATTTTTAAACTTGGTATCTTTACAACAACATTGCCACCGCCAAACCGAAGCCAACCAGGCTTCCCATAGCATCAACCCGAGCGCCAGCCGCAGTAGGCAGCGACGGCGTGCTCGTCGTAGTCGTTCCATTACGGCCACGAGTCCCGGTGGGAGCAGGCGGTGTCGGGGTCGACGTGTCAATCAACAAAGTTGTCGGCACGGTCATGACAGTAGTCGGAGGCAGGATAGCCGAGCCATCATCACTGGTAACCGGCGCGGCGGTGGGAGCCGAGGTAGGCGCCGAGTCCGGAGCGGAGATCGGGACGGATGCGGGCACTGAGCTCGGGGCCGCACTCGGCTTCGCAGAGGCTGCCGGCTTTGAAGGCTGGGCCGAGACAGGCGTTGTCACGTTCAGCTCGGTATTCCACGTCGCAAGAACGCACTGCTTCATGAGGTCGTTGTCCGTGTAGCTGTTGCCGGACTTCTTCGGCGTCAAGCTGAGGACGTAGTCGGTGCCGAAGCTGCCGGCGGCCCACCCGACGAGGCCAATGAACACGTCCGAGTTCTGGTTGATGAAGGTGTTCTGCGCGCAGAAAGCCGTGAAGCACTGATGTCCGTCAGCCCTATGCTCTCGGTTGCGTCGATCATACGGGAACATCATCTGAAACTTACCGAAGAATCACTCGAGGCTCCTGTCTCGCTGACCAGCCCCTTGCGGCCCTTGGACCGCAGATACTCAGCAACAGTCCTGAAACTCTCCACATTATCCGTCGTGCACGGCTTGTGCGTGCCGCTGTTGTCCTCGTCCAGGTACTTGTGCACGTCGATGATGAGGTTGTCGGTAGTCCCGTCCGGGTTCGTGATGGCCGTCAACGCATCCGCGCTGCCGCTGCTGACGAGGAACTCGGCCGAGTTGAAGTTGGTGCCGGGCAGCAGGATCATCTGCTTCGTTGCGCCGGCTCCGCGAATCGCCGTGACGACCTTCTGGCAAGTCGCCGCCCAGATCTTGACGTCGAGGTCGTGAGGCTCGTTCATGAGCTCGAAGACGACCTTCTCATTGTCCTTGTACTTCGTCGCCAGCTGCGTCCATAGAGACACGAACTGGTCGTCCGTCGGTCCTCCCTGTCCGATGATACCACCGTTCCATCGCGCAAAGTTGTGGATATCGAGCATGCAGTAGGCGCCGGTCGCGAGGCACTTTTGCATTACTTGATCGTATTTGCCCAGGTTGCCGGCGTTGAGGGTGCCTCCGAGCTGGTTGTTGACGAGAAACTGCCAGCCGACGGCTGAATGGTGTTAGTGGGATGATCATCCACGGCAGACTCGAGGGTGCATACGCAGGCGGAACATGTTGAGCTTGTCATCGTTGGCAAAGTGATTCATCTGGCCCTCGCCATCACCGCCGCCGAGAGAGCTGAGAGGCAGCTGGGTCTTGCCGGTAGGGCAGCTTCCCTATCATGGATCGTCAGCATCTATCATCACCGCCAGCCCTGACATCATAACTTACATCGATCTCACAACCAAAGTCACCACCGGATATCGCAACTCCCTAAAAGCCAAAGCATTAGATGTCATCCCATGTCTCGCAGATCATATGACTTGCCAAGAACTGCACCCTGGCGACCGCCGCCGCCGCCAACCCCAAAAGCGTGAATGTCTTCGAGACCATATTCGAACCTGAGCGAATGAAAAGAAGCGAATGTGAAAGTAGACGGTTACTGGGTAACCAAAAAGAAGGGATTCAATCCGAAGAATGAAAAGAAAAGAAACAGCGCGTGGCCTAGAAGAAGCGAAGGTACAGACGCAAAAGGGGCCTTGGTGTTGCAGCAAACTCCCAAAAGGAGAACCAGAGGTTGTTCGCAAACGGGACGGGCGGCGAGCCGCATTACATATTTCTCTCCTTGCCCCTCGGTGGGATGACCATGGAACACCCACGCACAAGAATCGATCACAGGAAAAGTGCTCGTGCACCCAAGAATAGCAGCTTCCATACGACCATCATTTGCTGACGGGGACGGCAGAGAGTGGATATTGTTGGCTCCTGTCCCCCAATCGTGCGCACCCGGGCTGAGCGAACAGAGAGAGAAAAGCCAAGCCCTAGGCATGCCATCTGATTGATGGTCGTTTCTGTGCGACAGATTCATGCGGCGAGCGCCACGAAGCCCGGTCGGGCGAGGGCCTGCATCAGACGGTGGGAGTTTCATGTGCGGGCACCAAAGCCAGGGGATCCCGCGGGTCCTTCCCCAGGGCGAATACCACCTTAGCAAGTCGAAAGAAGACCAGACTAGACCTTTTTCTCTCTCTTCTGCACTGACGGGTTGCCGAAGCAGTGGCACACTGCCCACATTGTGTGGAAATCAAGCGATTGGCGATGGGGCTCGCGGGGGATTCGACGCCATGGATGGATCTTGGGGACGGTCTTGAGCCTTGGCCGGAGAGTGCGACTTCAAGCAGGTTAGATCATGAGCTGCGGGAGAGCGAAAAGATGTGCCTAGAGGCGCTGGGGTCTCGGGCTGGCCGGGGTGCGGCAGGACGACCCGCCGGTGCGGCGAGTCGAGCGTTCCAAGTCAACGGTTTGCAATTGAATGCGGCTTGGATTTGATTGCCGCGAATGGAAGTTGCAAACGGCGTCAGCCCCAATGCGCCACTTCAATGTCACTGTGATTTGAAGGACGATGGGCGATCAATCGACGATGTTCATGCTGAGCGCGCGATGGGCTCAGCTGAGTCAGTGACAGAAGAGCAAGAACATGAGCCCAGAGACGGTTGAATCAACAAACGGCAGGCGATTCTCGGCCCGATGGCGTTGGTCGTATTGCTCGGGATGTTTGCTTCATGATCATGAGCGACGTCACACGGCAGTACCGCGAAGTGACCTTGCGTTCATCGTAACCTCTTGTCATGGATACGTCTTCTTGTCAGCTCCATTCTGGCACGAGCCTGAAATGCAACGGCGCAGGCACTGATGACTAGATTGCGGGTGTTGGTCGACATCCAGGGGCAGCCCAGCAAGCCACGAGAGCCTCTAAAACTAGGGCGCCGCCGCTAGAGAGGGTTCAAAGACACACATGGCGTTAAAAATGTCCGTGGCAGCCGACACATCGTTACGCTTGTTGGGTTCCTCTGCTTTGTCTCGCAACAGCTCGTATTGAAGACTGTAACGGCGCCGTTTGTGGCCTTCGAGAAAGTGACCTGTTGTGCTGTGCTGTGTTGCCAGAGAGAGAACTCTCCGCGTCCGAGGCGTTCGGGAAACTTTGCCGACGCGTGTCCCAACGGCTCGAACCCCCTGGCATGCAATCAACGCCAGACCGAATGAGAAGATCTTGATCGTCTGATGAAAAGAAAAAAATCTTCCGAAACTAGGGGCACCGACGGGATGGGTGCAGTTGATCCTGATGGATGGATTCGTCGAGAAGACGCCCAAAGCGGCAATGATGAAGGGGAATGGCGGGCACGTCGCAGGTGAAGCAATCTTGCCTGGTCAGACATTTCCTCAAGCCACACGATGACCCCTCCATCTCTTGATTAGTAAGTCATTTCCGGTGTCTTTCAAGATGCAGGCCCACTTGGCGTTTGAGGTTTCTGTTTCTGTTGTTCATTCATGTTGAGATGTTTCCCATCTTCGAACCTTGCAGATGCCAAGAGACCATTTCTTTCAAGTACTCTTCAGCAGAATTATGTTGTCCTTCGTAAGGATCACCGATAGCGGACTGCATCCTTCTCGTCGCAATGATTGTCTCCAATGGTATCATAGTGGGGCGCGCGGGGAACGTGATGAACGCAAAGATAAATACCAGATGAAAGTAGCATGATGACTTCATGTATTAGGAACAACGTCAATTCGCATATTCTTCGACTGTCATCAAGAGCTAAACTCAACAGTCTTCAAATCAAACATCTCAAAATGGCTTCCTCAAAGCAGAACCCGCCCCTCCTTGATCATATCGTCATCCTCTTACCCCACCAAGTCCTCGCCAACCTCCCACCCTGGCTCTCGGACGAATTCACCATCCTGACCGGCGGCCGCCATGCCGATGGCCGCACTGAAAACAAGCTCGTAATTTTCGCCGACGGGACGTACCTGGAGCTCATCTCCTTCGTCGAGGGTATCAGCCCGGAAGAACGGCTTAAGCACAAGTGGGGCGCAAAGAAGGATGGAACCATCATCGACTGGGCCTACTCTCTCGTCGACGAGTCTGGCTTCTCTGCGATCCAAGAGCGAGTGAGCGCCGCGCAATCCCTGGCATCGTACGACGACCCCGTCCCGGGCGGCCGGATCAGACCGGACGGCGAGGAGCTGAAGTGGGCCGTTGCGCTGCCCGGGCCGGAGGGAAAAGTGGAGCGGGGCGAGTTACCGTTCTGGTGCTTTGACCGGACGCCGCGCAAGTTGCGGGTGCCGGACCATGTCGAAAAGAATGTGACGCATCCCAGCCACGCACTGGGAGTTCACTCGGTTGAGGTTGATGTCAGCAGTGAGGACTTCAAGAAGGCGTATGCTGGTATTATCGGACAGCCCGGGCAGGGAGAGAATGGCGGCACGTGGGCATTTGACGTTCCGATTCGCCAGTTCGAGGACCCCAGACATATTCAAGTGACTGTTTCTGAAGGGAAGTCACTTGAGGGATCTATTCGTCTGGCGTTGTACACCGCTAAGGGCACAGAGAAACGCGAAATTCGTGGAGATCTCGGAGCCGGCGTGTCAGTGAAGATCGATCT